ATTCATTTTTACAGTGAAATTAATTTTCCAATGAAATTTTCCGCTGAAATTTATTTGTGAATTCATTTTTGCAGTGAAATTTATTTCTCAATGATATTTTCCAGTGAAATTTACTTTTCGGTGAAATTTTCCACCGAAATGTACATTTCAATTCAATTGCGCGGTGAAATTTTGTTCCAGTGAAATTTTTTTTCCACCAAATTTACCAGTGAATCTGTAACAATTTAGTTTTTCCCATTGAACATTTTCTAAGAAGCATTGTTCGACGTCTATCAGCTAGCACCGCTGCAACTTGATTTTTAGTTAAACGTAAAGTTAAATTAAATTTTGAATTAAACTTCGCATAATTATACAACATGTTCATTTATTTCCTCGTTTTATACTTTCGTTTGTAAGCATACGCTAGCTAAATTACACTTGAAATTTTCCTGCTTAATGGTTCATATAATTTTGATGAAATTATTAATTTGATATGGTGTTCAGTAATTAACGAGTACCATGTGCTGCTGCACAGAAATTTCCAAGAAAGAGGTCGTGCATTTTAATTATTTATATAAATTATTTACATTATTCGAGTAAAGAAATAACACGTGTACTCTATTTTCTATTATTTTATTATAGTTTAGAGTGTTGGGAAACATTAATTTTACTTTCGTACTAAATTGTATTATATTTACTTTTTATCCTGGTAATTGGAATTATGTATATCGTGGTTTCTGGTATTAGTTGGTGTAACTTCTGCTTACACAGCTGTATTTAATTAGCAAATACCAGTTATGTACATATTTTAATCCATTTATACACCATACATGTATTTGTAATTCTAAAAGTTAAGAGGATTAAAGATGAAGTAAGAATTGAAGACCTTGGTGAAAGAACCATTCTATTTTTTGCCATTTTTATCATTTTTGCAACAAACCACTGTAAATAAATTAAGAACGACGTTAAGCCACTAAAAATTGAAAACTTTGGTGAAAGGACCGTTCTATTTTTTGCCATTTTTATCATTTTTGCAACAAACCGCTGTAAATAAATTAAGAAAGACGCTAAGCCACTAAAAATTGAAAACTTTGGTGAAAGGACCATTCTAGTTTTTGCCATTTTTATCATTTTTGCAACAAACCGCTGTAAATAAATTAAGAACGACGTTAAGCCACTAAAAATTGAAAACTTTGGTGAAAGGACCATTCTAGTTTTTGCCATTTTTATCATTTTTGCAACAAACCGCTGTAAATAAATTAAGAACGACGTTAAGCCACTAAAAATTGAAAACTTTGGTGAAAGGACCATTCTATTTTTTGCCATTTGTATCATTTTTGCAACAAACCACTGTAAATAAATTAAGAACGACGTTAAGCCACTAAAAATTGAAAACTTTGGTGAAAGGGCCATTCTAGTTTTTGCCATTTTTATCATTTTTGCAACAAACCGCTGTAAATAAATTTAGAAAGACGCTAAGCCACTAAAAATTGAAAACTTTGGTGCAAACACCATTCCATTTTTGCAACAAAAAAAAATATACAACACATAAATGAATTACAAATAACAAAAAAAAGAATTAAATTTCCAATTTTCCAAGAAACTTCTATATTTCCCGAAAAACCCAATTTCTCTTCAAACTGACCATTTCTCTCGCGTCAAAGTCTCAAACTTGCCACTTCGCTCCGTTCAACGTTCACCCCGCACGTTTTAACGAAGTTTATTATTACAACACGTCAACGTGAAAAACCTGTCAAATATGACGTAGATCGAGTAACGTTTCGCGATTGTCGTTCGCGGCGAAGTTGCCTGTGTGCGGGAGAGTTGGCCTGCACAGAGAGAACTTGAAACGATTGGGCACGCGAGGAGACGGAGAAAGAAAGTTTGACGATTTTGAACTAGTGGAAAAGTAGCTTAACGCGTTGCCTCTTGCGGCGAAGGCACGCTTATATTGTACGAGTAGTTTGATTCTGACATGGCAACTTGCCTTCTCGACTAGGTTCTTCCTACTTGGACACAAAGTGTTCTAATGGTAGTACGTGTTTAATACCGACATTTTCGCATGTTCTGGCCCGAACACGTCTCAGTAGCTGGCCGCGTGTCAGATGAAATAAATCACGCCGAGATATGTGTTTTATGTCTGACTGAAAATTGGAATTTTATTAAAGCGGGTCCCTGGATTTCGAAATGAATAAATTCCAGTTACTGTGAAAATCTGTCGAATTATTTTGGAAATCTTGAGCAACGGAATAAAAACTGGAGGCTTCGGTGCAAGGACCATTTTAGTTTTGGCCATTTTTATCATTTGGCGCAACGAACTTTTATAAGTGAATTAGGGATGGAGGAAAGATTATAAAAATTGAAAATTTTAGCGAAAGAACGATTCAGTTTTTAACTATTTTTATCGTTTGGTGTAACAAGGAAATATTTTTCTTCTATTTTCTGAAAAATTTATGTATTTTGTACAGTACTCGAACAAACGTTCATCTGAATTTAGTATCCATTATAAGGGGGTTATCGTCAGAAATAAATGATAAATTTGAAAAAAATATAATTTAGTCGAGAAAGGATTAAGGAATGTCACAAAGGTATTTAGGTAAAAAGAAAAAGAAGAATGATGTTCTTCCTAATTTGTTACTTAAAATGACATATATTTTATAATAAATATTCAAATATTGTATTAAGAGTAAAAAATAATGGACGGAGTATATCTCTGAGAAAATGTATTGCAAAGGGGTAGGACCAGAGTGATAGATAGAACGATCGTCAGTTCCTTTTCACGCACTGGTAAAAACGGTTGACGTTTCGATTCGATTAGGTCACGGGCCATGGATCCACGAGAAGAAGCGATCGGCGTTGCGGTCAGCAGCCGCAAAAAGCCTCGAGAGTACTGTTCTCCGAATGTCAGTCGGAGAACATCACGGTGTCATCTCATCAGACAGCCAAGTCCTCCTCGTCCACCGCGCTCAGCCCCGATTCGTCGAAACTTGGCCCGTCTCTCATCCCGAAAATCTCGAGACTTCAGCCGAACGAGATCAACAACGCCATGCAAGGAAATGGTTAAGTATCGTGAAATGTTTTCCTATTTCCAACTTTGCGAATTTGCGAAAATTTAAAGTTTGCGAATTTTCCAAGTTTTCAAGTTTGCAAAGTTTTAAGCTTGCGAATTTTCAAGTCTGTAAATTTCCAAATCTTCCAAAATTTAAAGTTTGCAAATTCTCGAACTTTCCATGCTTTCAGCTTGCAAATTTTCAATTTTGCAAAGTTTTAAGCTTGCGAATTTTCAAGTTTGCAAATTTCCAAATCTTCTAAAATTTTAAGTTTGCAAATTTTTAATTTCCCAAGGTCTCAAGCTTTCGAATTTTCAAGTCTGCAAATTTCCAAAATTTAAAGTTTGCGAATTCTCGAACTTTCCAAACTTTCAGCTTGCAAATTTTCAATTTTGCAAAGTTTTAAGCTTGCGAATTTTCAAGTTTGCAAATTTCCAAATCTTCTAAAATTTGAAGTTTGCAAATTTTTAATTTCCCAAGGTCTCAAGCTTGCGAATTTTCAAGTCTGCAAATTTCCAAAATTTGAAGTTTGCAAATTCTCGAACTTTCCAAAATTTAAAGTTTGCAAATTCTCGAACTTTCCAAACTTTCAAACCTGCAAAGTTTCAGACTTGCGAATTCTCAAGTTTGCAAATTTGCACATTTTCTAAAATTAAAAATTTTGCAAATTCTCAAATTTTCCAAACTTTCAAGCCTGCAAATTTGCAAATTTGCAAAGTTTCAAGCTTGCAAATTCTCAACCTTTCCAAATTTTCAAGTTAGCAAAGTTTCCTAAAGTAACTTGTCCTCTCAATTCAGTTAACAACCATTTCAATAGTCACATCACAATACTAACACTTTCATTTCTTCGTTAGTTAGTAACAACAATAACGTGATACTTTTCATTCTTTTGTTTATCCGCAGTAGTAGTCTTTTAATTACGGTCTCGTAGGTATTACATGCCTATTACATAATATATCAGGTCAGTATCAGGAATCTGGGTTGATCGGTTTAAGTTCGTAGAGTTACTCGCGATTTATTGAAAACGATCGATAAACGGATACACCTTCTTTTCCATAAATTATTTCACATTCGATGAAAATTTCACATTTCTTATTGGTTTTCTTGTATAAGCTGTTTCATAACACGTGGTCTTAATCCCGTAGAAGCTTGCGTTCGAAGAAAGCGCATAGGGTAACCATTCTGGGCTTCAATAGGGAGATTATGTAAGCTCGATTTACAAATAATAAGATTGTACGTGAATTACGTATCAGTTTTCAACAGTACACGACTTATAATTAGTTGTGTCACATTGACACGTTAATTAAGGGAAGAACGAGTTAACTCGTCGTTCGAACGATCTATATTTTCAACATAATCTTCTAGTTTCTTTATTTCTTTTTTTCTTTTGTATTTTATCGTTGAAGATGAAACATGTCATACTCGTGAATTTGCATAGCAGTGTGAAATAACTGGTTATAATCAAGGTTATAATTAAATACACTGATTTCTATTAAAGATAAAATGTATCGTACTCGTATTTGCAAAAGGGCTAATGTAATACGCTTCTTTGATTATACGTAAAATTTCTGTTTGAGACGTGAATTTGGTTAATAACGCGAGGAGATTTAATGAAACGTGGAAGTAGCTTCGAAATAAATTCAAATAAAATCTTCCGTTACTACTGTATTTACTAGATTCGGTGTAAATTCACTCGTTAACTAACCCTTTGAGAATGGCCAATCCGCATAAGCGTTCGTGAAAAACTAGGAACGTAATCAATAAACTCATAGAAATTTTTTTAATGAAAATAGTTGACACTGGCACGTGATTTAAATTACATTTATTCTCCTGATTTATTACACCAGCCATTATGAAAGTACCCTAAGTAATTTTTTTTTAATATTTAGATTTTTTTGTATTTAATTTTGCAAAAATTTGTCCACATCATCTTAATGTAAATCGATGCAACGCAAATAAAAGCGATAAATTCAGTTGTTTCACTTTTAATCAGTGCTCCGTCCGCAAAGGATCCTTAAAAAAATTAAAATATTAAATCTCATTTAAAAAAAAAGTTGAAATATTAAATCTCGTTTAAAAAAAGAATATTGAAATATTAAATCTTGTTAAGAAGAAAATATTGAAATATTGAATGTCGTTTAAAAAGAAAATCGACTTAAAATAAATAAATTAAAAAAGAAAAAGAAACACCGAAATATCAAACCTCATTTTTTTTTTCTTCAACCTTGCAGAAAAAGTGAAGATCGGTCAGTCCTATTGGAACAACAGAGCAGAGGAGGGCGACTCATCGGCGAACGCGATGGAGCCAATGGAGGAACGCATGGAATCAACGGATTGCGACAGTAATCCGTCGATGGCTTACTGCGCCACGCCCAGGAGGCTTAGTAGCTCCTCGGTGGAGAGCGCGAAGATACCAGAGGAAGAGGAGAAGAAAACGTTCGCGGCCGCTGACTCGACAATGAGGCCAAGAACGGGCCGTGTGCCGAGAAAGAAACGATCCGTTGGGTCGATGGAGGATCTATGGGACGAGACCGTGTTCGAAGATCCAACGAGAACAGCTAGAACCACGCCGGTGATCAAGATCTCGTTCGGAGCTCAGGGTGAGGGAACAGTCCTGAAGATACCTTCGAAGATTCAGGATCCAGAGTACGAGCAGGAAACAGACGACGCGGAAGATGTGCAGACGGAGACTGAGAAGGATCCGTTGGAGTTGCCGATAAACTTTGATAATGAATACGATTACCGCGAGGACGGAGAGGAAGATGGACAGGAACAGGTGGATCCGCAGAAGCAAGGTGTGAAGGATGCCAACGCTAAAGCTGCAAAACGTGCGCTGAAGAAAGCCAAGAAAGAAGCCAGGAGAAAAATGCTGGGCGGAGTTTCGCCAGCGAGATCTCCTTGCAATGGATCACCACGGTACACTATATTGTTATGCGGAGTTCGATGTACACTTACTGAGTATTTAGGGAAATGTGCGCTGAATGTAGTTTAAACCGTTGAGCACGATGGATTGTTATTTTTAAGCAACGTTGACCATAGTTGGCGTGGTCATGAACTCCTATACGTATCTTTGAGGAAAATGTACACACCAAATGTATTGTGCACACAAAAGTTTGGGACCACCTGCCAATACATATCAGTATTAATTCTTGTCTTCACGACTTTTTAATGGTCACGTATATTAGCCTTGACTGTTCACTATTTTAGTAAAATGTTAATGTTACAGGGGCTAATATCAATTTATTTGATGGATCTATCAGATCGTTCCTTTTTTTTTCTGAAAATAGTTACTGTTAGATATCGACAGTCGGTATTGACACAGAGATCGATGCCCCCGTTAGGTAACCAGCGTAGCGAATGCTTTTTTTTTTTTTTTAAAGCGACATGGGTCCTGATAGTTACTTATAGTAACTATGATACATTCAGTTGTACACATTTACCAGTAAATGTACATTACAATTAAATTCACATTTATGTCAGAGTAATCATATACCTTTTCCTCTTTATAGATATAATCCCACATACGACACGTTGTCGTACCACCGGCGCAAGCATAAAGTGAAGCATAAAAAGAAACATAAGGAGGACCGCAAGCATAAGAACCAGCAATCGCAGCATCAGCAGCCTTGCTTGGAACCCGGTAGCACGGAGAATCAGCAGAATTGGAACGTCCTTCCTGGTAGCGAGTCGTACACAGCCATAAAGGAGCAGTGCCTGAAGCAAAAGCTATCCATATCTCTGAAAAGATTGAACACAAACGCTTACGCCAGATGTGATTATCCCGTGAGCAACGCCACCTTGGGCTGTAAGAGTCCTTGTGCCAGTAGCGACGAGCTGAGTGAACCGGAGCCTGAGGTGGACGCTGGTGAAACTGCTCCAGATTTTCCACCACAATCTCATCCGCTGATGATGCGCCTTGCCGCGACACCGGTGGAACATTGTCTCACTGCTAATGGTAGAAGAATGGACGTCGGTGACGTGGTGTGGGGAAAGATTCATGGGTTCCCGTGGTGGCCAGGCAAAGTACGCATTAAAAAAATGTATAATCTTAATTATAATGTCTATGTTAAACTCTGTAAAAATGTTAAATCATGTTTATCTTGTTTATTCAGGTACTCAGCATCACAGTTTCTTGTAAGGAGGATGGTACATCGTCTGGACCACAGGCTCACGTTGCCTGGTATGGTTCCTCGACAAGTTCTCTCATGTCGTGCGACCAGTTGAGTCCATTTTTAGAAACGTTCAAGGTGAATAGCGTCTTTAAACATTTTGTCACCACTACTTAAAATCTACGTAAAACGTTAATTCTGATTTTTATCATTTTCTACGATTTCTAATCATTCTAAATATTATTTGGCACATGTTTCTAGACACGGTACAACAAGAAGAAGAGAGGCCCGTACAAGGAGGCGATACGACAGGCGCAGAACGAGGCCCGAAGTCAGATCACGCCTAACTCGACGAGCAGCGTGCTGAATGTGTGTGGCTCACCGCGCGAGGTCAACGTTCTCTCCTAAGGGAAGGTGCACGCCACTCGACACCATTCCTTAACTGCCAGGTATCCGTCACCGGAGACTAATCTCTCACGGCGGATCGAAATCGTCATGTAATATATAAAACAAATTTTTGTACATAATTGACCTTAGCATTAATGGAATAGCTCTTGATCGATGTTCTAATCAGTACAGTCGCGCCTGCTGTCATCGTAAGCGATAAAATATGATTCTAGAAAAACGGTGACACCGACGCTGAAATGAAGTTTACTGCCATCACTGGCGCGTTTCTTTTTTATCCTCAGCTTTTTTCGAAGCGAACATTTAGCGCGTAAGAAGTATTTAGATAGGGTATAATCTCTAGGAGATAACACGTCAGCTCTCGAAAAATAATTTCGTACTAAAAATATGACCTCTATTCGATAGCTAGACACAATACAGACACGTACACACATACACATGTATACACGGGTGCGTCACTGATGATTTAGCGATGCTCGTTTACTTAAATTCTTTATATGTATATATACAGTTGTGCACACATAAGCGTCCGCGATCGAGACCGAATGCGGACGCTTAAGTGGGGAGGTGACTTCTGCGAATTTAATTAAACAAAAGAGAGGAGATGTGTCCTGAGTGGGATACCGATATATCAAGTGTCAGTTGTTCACATTCAGGAGTCGATATCGATTTATGTACTTTGTTTCACACGGCACGCTCGAACTCCACTCCGAAGTCCCACTTCTAAGAATTGATGAGGATAGTGACGGACACTTAAGTGTGCAAAAATGCGTACGCTTATGCGTGCACTACTGTATATGTATACATATATATATGTATATATCTATATACATATACACGTATATATTTGTACTAACGATTTCATTGTGATCATTGTTGAGAACAGCGTAACGTATTTCTCATCCAGTGCAGGCAGTGAATCTTCGATACAATCTGCAGACGTTGCTGATACCGTTCACGACTCGATTCGTCGTGTCTTTGTTTGATTGACAGAACTTTGAGAACATGGACAATACACCTTTGACAAGTGAAAACTCACTCACGATACTTTTAATTAATGTTTAGCGCGAAAGATTGCTGAATGTTTGTGAAGCTTTAACATGATGAGAACGCTATAAAGTTTTAAATTGCAGAATGAATCAGAAAATTGGAAATATTTTATGATTCAAGAAAGTTTGACTTTCTGTACTAGTGTATTTCCCTTAATTGCGCCCTGTGCATGGAAGTACTGAGGTAAAGTGATTGAAAAGTGCGTGTTTTACGAAGCGTTTTTTTATTTTTTATATTATAAATTTTCTAAGAAGCATAGTTTAATATTTATCAGCTAGCACCACTGCAACTCGTTTTTAGTAATAAATTTTTTGATTACTTTACTTTGATACTTTGAAAGTGTAAAGGTTCTGGAATTAAACTTTACAGAATTACATAATATTTTCATTTATTTCTCCTTTTATACATTGTTTTGTAAGAATACAGTGGCTCATTCCATTTGCAAGAATCGTCCTGTATAAATAAGACTATTTCGAATTAATATTTTCATTTCGCAAATGCTAGCAGAACAATCGACAAACGGAATTCTTCGTAGCGTTTAGCATCCTGCATTCTTTGTTATCTGAAAAAGTAAGGTTAAGCGCGTGACAGTGAAATTCAAACACGAAAACGAGGCTTGTGACGCATAAAATATTTTTAGCAAATACTGAGCTTGATATTTTGTAATATTCACGAGAATGATTTACTTTTTATCGGTAAAAAAAAAATAGTGAAACACACTGTTTAAAGTAATTAAGGTGTCTAAGCAATTTAACAGAAATTGAAAACATCACTGGACATGAAAAGTAACTTTAAAAACATTCCTTTTTAAGTAGTTCTAATTATAGTGAATCAAAAATAGTATCCAGGTCACTCAAAGTAATTATTACATCATATTGCTAAAACATATTTAAAAGTTTCATCAAGTATCAGGTAGAAAACAAATATTGCCATGTTTATCACAGTACCCTTATCAAATATCTAAACTACATAGCAATAAAACATCCACATTTCATTTAAGACTATAATACCTTGGACATTGCAAACCATATACACGATAAGAAAATAATTTTTACATACTTCAGCGATTAAAAATCAAACGTGAAAGAAATACTATGTTAAATATAGTGTTATTCAATCCCTTAATTATTTCAAACAGTGTGCACCCAGTGTTACAAACTTGTATTTTTCACGAACACTAACTACGAATGTCTTCCTTTTCACTTTGAACTTCGAAATAGGAAAAAGTTCCCGGGGCCCTTTCGAGGGTTCTTTTATTAAAGTTCTTTAAGAGTGGGGGTGCGCCAGAACGCAGTGTGACGTGTCACAAGAACGCATCATCGATGATCAATGGTATAACGCATCTTCGGTAATGCGTTTCAGCCAAAGTTCGCATGAGGCACCTAGGCAAATAATATGCCTCATAACAACGATCTCGAGTTTCATGGCTCATAATTTACAAGCACGCGCTCAACTTTACTCGCGAGTTTCCTTTACGCTTCGTGCCAACACTGCCAGGAATTAACCATTTCGTTTCAGTCTTTCTTCACTGACGACAATTCCTATCGTGCCGACAGTTCATGTAAATTCCAAATATTATTAAATGCTACGCGATCGATCGGTTATTCAAAATTCGCGATGTCTGATTTTATCTTCTAAGAAATAATCGAAACTCACCTGTATCTCTACTTAAACACATTTATCATTGCCATACAGGCGGCATGAGAATGTCCCTTAAAGTATTCCAGTTAATCGATCGTTCATTTTCTTCGTCGTTGGAAAAGTTTTCCCTCCTTTTCAGTCTTCTCGTTCGTTAAGAATCGAAGTATAATTCATCGTTATGGTACTATTAGCATGGATGTGCATGGCGACTTTAATTATACTAAAATATGTACAAGGTGTTCTGTAGATCTCTATGCACATTCTTCTCTGTGTAGTGCGTTTAAAAGACGAAAGTGGTATGAACTTTTTTATTATGAGGTTATGACAGAAACGTGAAATGTCAATGAACCGCCATTTTTGCATTTTGAAGTATCGATGCCTGATATCGATACATTATCGAATTTCATCTAATGTTGCTTTTTATCCTTTTTACCACATTTTATTTGTTTTTTGTTACAACTCTTTCATGATATATTCATAAATGAATGTTCATATGAAACTTCCATCTTATTTTGAATCGCAAAAAGGTTAGCAATTTTTATACAGTAACTTGTAGGATACTTCGTATACATCGGGTGTTTTAGAAATAGATTTATTTAGATAGAAATAGGTGTTTTAGAAAAAGAATTTTTTAAAGTTTACAAAATCATAATTCGATGTATTTTATTTTATTCATTGCCTGGTTTATATAATCAATATTTTCCTTTTCCCATTAGCAGGAAAATTTTTAACAACCTATTTCTAAAACACCTTGCACATGAGACTTTTTTGAAGCTTTCACGGCCTGATTATGTTTACAATTTATATTGTTTGAGGCTTTCGCGTGTAAGCCGTGTTCAGTAGGATAAGTTTCCCAATGTTTCGTTCGTAACGACCTTGTACATATGACGAAAAAATTGCCCTTTCAATCGCAAACAGTACTTAAGATTTCCCATCGATTTTCCTGTTTCACGTCGAAGGTCTGCCACTACCTCGAAACGGACATTCTTCCACTGACTGCATTCCCAAGCTTTACTCTGCCCCCCTTCGTCGTCCAGGAAATTCCGTTTACATATAATGACGTTTTTTTTATTCCAAAAAACAAAAAAAAAGAACTTCGATTAGTTCATCACGAATCATTTGCCTTGAGAATATACATATAGAAATAGAATAACACGAAAAATGAGGATCATCAGACACGACGAGAGCATCGATATCTCGATTCGTTCACGAGATATCGGATCCGTATTTCCCGCGATATCAGCAATCACGTGCCAGCTTCACGCTCAATGTTTGCTCTGCTCTCGAACATTTCATCAAATCTCGAGGCTGTCGCTGGCCAGACGGCGGATTTCTCTCGTCTCCCCCCTCTCCTCCCTTTTTTTCTTCGAGCTCTCCTTGCTTTTTCTCGACGTTCGATTCTCGAACCAGGATTATCCTCGAGGGAAATTTGTCGATAACGAAAAACTGCCTAGCGAATGAATTCCTTCTATTATATGTACTTTTTTTCATATTTTTTACCCTCTGCTTGTGTTTTGTCGTCAATGACGGAGATTTTTTCGTGTAAATATCACGTGCCACGAGTGATATTCATGGAACGAATTCGACGATGATTATGAAGGCAAATGTTTATGTAATGTATCTAGTTATGAGAAAAAGCAGAACATAGAAATATGTTATTTTTTTACGTAACTACCTTCTACACTTATTCTAACGTTTCACGAACTGTTCCATTCTCTCAGAGAAAAATTCTTTTGACGAGTCTCGAAAATATTTGTCCACAGCTATTTTTAAAACCTTTGGCTCCTAAGGTTCTTTCTTAAATTTTTCAACAAAAAAACAAAGTGTTAAATTCGTAGTGTTGCAATTCGGTGAATCTACCTTCTTGAATAATGTTTTGAATTGCGCGCGCTTTATGTATCCTGAAGTTATCATGGAAAAGCAAATCTTTTGTTTTTAGAACTCGTTGAAGTTGAATGAAGTTTCGTACAAATTATCACAAGTGTCACAAAAGCTGAACAGTGAAGCAATTGTTATTTTCATTAGTAGGTGGATCACATAAAAATTCGCTTTCATATTCAGTGAATGTGTCGATGGTGATTTTTGTGGTTAAGTGAAGCGACGTTGTTGTATATGCTTGAAGAAAAGTAATAACAATCATTCACGATTCGTTTTAATGGACAATATTCGTCATAGTGGTAGATTTTTGTTAATCTATAAATCGATAGGCTTCTGATATGTAGTCTACGAACTGGTGATTAATGATTTCTCGACATCGCTGGCTGACTGTCGATACTTTTCGAGAGCGAGATGCAATCTGAGATTAGAGATGA